GCAAAGAGCAGTGGGATTATCATTGGTTCTCACAGGTTTTGGCATAGGCAGTGAAGTTAAGAGCAATGTTTTGGGGGCAGGGGGTGAAGCTCACCAAGTACATTCTCAAGGGTGGGGAGAATTAAAAAGAAATTTCTTAAGGGTGGGGGAGATCATAAAGAACCTTCTTAAGGGTGGGGGAAATTACAAAGTACACTGATCTGTTAGGGTGGGGAAGAAACAAATCACAATGGTGGAATGCCATCAGTTAAGCTATTTTCACTTCTGTGGATCTTCAGTTGCTTCAGGCCATCTGGATGTATACGTGCAGGTTGCTGGGGATATGATGGCTTAGCTTGGGCTCAGAGGCCTGACACTGAGGTTTAAAGGATGGTGGCCCTCTTCTCACAGCTCCACTAGGCAGTGCCCCAGTAGGAACTCTGTGTGGGGGATCGGACTTCACATTTCGCTTTTGCACTGCCCCAGCAAAGGCTTTCCATGAGGGCTCCATTCCTGCAGCAAACTTCTGCCTGGGCATCCAGGTGTTTCCACATATCCTTTGAAATCTAGGTGGAGGTTCCCAAACCTCAATTCTTGACTTCTGTGCACCCATAGGCTCACCATCACATGGAAGCTGCCAAGGCCTGGGGCTTCCATCCTCTGAAGCAACAGCCTGAGCTGTACCTTGGCTCTTTTTAGTCACGGCTGTAGCAGCTGGGAAGCATGGCACCAAGTCGCTAGACTGCACACAGTAGAGGGGCCCTGTCCCCGGCCCACAAAACCATTCTTTCCTCCTAAACCTCCAGGCCTATGATGGGAGGGGCTGCCGCAAAGGTCTCTGGCATGCCCTGGAGCCATTTTCCCCATTGTTATGGTGATTAACATCCAGCTCCTTCTTACTTACGTAAATTTCTGCAGCTGGCTTGAATTTCTCCTCAGAAAACAAGATTTTCTTTTCTATTGCATTGTCAGGCTACAAATTTTCCAAACTTTTATGCTCTGTTTCCCTTTTAAAACTGAATACCCAAGTCATCTCTTGAATCTTTTGCTGCTTAGATACCCTAAATCACCTCTCTCAAGTTCAAAGTTCCACAAATCTCTAGGGCAGGGGCAAAATGCCACCAGTCTCTTTGCTAAAACATTACAAGAGTTACCTTCGTTCCACTTCCCAACAAGTTCCTCATCTCCATCTGAGACCACCTCAGGCTGTTTCATTGTCCATATCATTATCAGTATTTTGGTCAAAACCATTCAACAAGGCTCTAGGAAGTTCCAAACTTTCCCGCATTTTCCTGTCTTCTTCCGAGCCCTCCAAAACTGTACCAACATCTGCCTGTTACCCAGTTCCAAAGTCGCTTCCACATTTTCAGGTATCTTTTCAGTAGCACCCCACCCATGGTACCAATTTACTGTATTAGTCTGTTCTCATACTGCTGATAAAGATATATCCGAGACTAGGCAATTTATAAAAGAAAGAGGTTTAATGGACTTACAGTTCCATGTGGATGGGGGAGGTCTCATAATCATGGTAGAAGGCAAGAAGGAGCAAGTCATGTCTTACATGGATGGCAGCAGGCAAAGAGAGAGAAAGAACTTGTTGCAGGGAAACTCCATTTTTAAAACCATCAGGTCTCGTGAGACTTAATCACTACCACAAGAATAGCATGGGAAAAACTTGCCCCCATGATTCAATTACCTCCCACCAGGTCCCTCCCACAACATATGGGAATTCAAGATGAGATCTGGGTGGGGACACAGCCAAACCATATTATAAAGATACTCATTTAACCTGGAAACCAAGGAGGCAGAGTAGGGATGGGGCAGAAAGAACCTTGTACCAAAAAATATGATATTTTGATATCAGTTGGGGCTGATATGTGAAACCAAAAAGGAATGTGAGCTAATCAAAACAGAAATGGTTTCATGCGAATATTTTTAAGGTACAAAGGGTCTAGATAAAGAAACTTCCTAAACAGGTGCTGGGTGGAATCAGAAGAGCAAAGGACAATGATCAAGTTTCAGAGGACTCAGCAAAGGAAAATTCCTACCTGAGCACTGAGAATTAAACTTGAAGTCAAGCATGATAGTATGTCCTCTAGGGCTAAGAGAAAGAATGAGCAAGCAGTCTAAGGATCAAAGAGATATGCAACCCTTACAGCTTAATAGTAATGTTAAACTATTAACATAACCTAGAGCGAGGCTGTATTCAGTAAATAAGGGCACCTATTAATTACTCCTCTACTTCAGCTTGAACTGTACTATTTCATTTTTGCACCCAAACCACTAAGTGCTCAAAGATGATGGTATTTGACTGGATCCCCATCATCCCCTTGAAAGGTGGTTGCTGACACGACTAGCAGAAAACTCTTCTCCTGTGAAGACTGACCTGGCTGATTCAGTCACACAGCATTTCTGACTAATGCTTATTACTGTATTAAGACCTAGCAACTCTGGTCAACTTTGATTTTTGTTTGTTTACTTTTGGGTCCTAATATTTTGCTGTTCCCCAGGGCCAAACTCTGTTTCTATCTATTGCCAAATGATCTGCCACACATACCTATAAACGGAGGATTCATTAAGTGATTCTTTTCATGAGTATACTACCAGAACCTAGCCTACCATCTAGCACATGGGCCCCCAGGCCATGGACCAGTACCAGTCAGTGGCCTGTTAGGAACCAGGGCGCACAGCAGGAGGTGAGCAGCAGACAAGCATTGCCACCTGAGCTCTGCCTCCTGTCAGATCAGTGGTGGCATTAGATTCTCCTAGGAGTGCCAACCTTATTGTGAAGTGTGCATGCAAGGGATCTAGGCTGCACATTCTTTATGAGAATCTAATGATAAATGTAATGTGCTTGAATCATCCCATAACCATACCCCCATCCTGGTCTTTGGGAAAACTGTCTCCCAGAAACCAGTCCCTCGTGCCAAAAAAGCTGGGGACTGCTGATCTAGCACATAGAAAGCCCTCAACAAATATCAATGGAATGAGCAAATAAAAGTGATAATCAAATCTCTCTATGCAGGGGGAGTTTTACACATTTACAAACCAAGGACCCCTTGGGTAGTCTGTTGAAGCCTGTGGACCCCTTCTCAAAATAATATTTAAAAATAGATAGCATTATAGAGGAAATTAATTATAGTGAAATACAGTTACAAAATTATTTTTTTAAATTGTGACATCATCACAAACATGCTTCTGTGACACAGGGTGGGCTTGCCAAGCCCTAGGCTTCTCTGCAGAGAGATCTGGCTGGGCCAGTTCAGTGGCAAAACTACTGATGACATCTACAGAGTTTTTGTTCTTGGTTTCTCAGAGAAAACTCCTCCAAACTCCTGCTTGGGAAGCCACTGTGCTCAGAGTGAAGTGGTAGAAAGCGGCCGAGGGAGTTTGCACAGTTCAATGTGTCCATTTTCACCATACCTGTCATTTTCTGTATGGTATCCTCATCCTTAGCTGTGCCCATTATCCCTGAATGCACAGACCTTTTCGGTCTTCCCTTAGGGTGAGGAAGGCACAGCTGCTTATGTCAACAGGGGCAGAGATAGAATCAAGGGGGTTACCTGTTTCTTACATAGACTTACAATCAGTCCTCCTGGGTCCTGCATCACCTGCATTCCTACTTCGAGGGATACCTGCTGCCTCCAATTCTTGAACCTTTTTAGGGGGTCAGAAGTACAGACAGCCTGCTTTTAGGCTTCCCATGTTACTGTCATCCATCTTCTAAAAGGTAGTTGCTATTTTCTCTTTTCCCTTTTGAGTGCATGTCTATCTTATCCCTTTCCTTTTATTCGTGTGGGATGTATTAAGGAGGCAACAGTAAACAGATTTAATCTGCTACAATTTGCCGAAGTCGCCACTAAAATTTTTACAAAGGCATAAAAAGTTTTAAAAATCAAATTTAGAAGTAAATGCCTCAAAATTCATCTATTTTATAACTATGATATTTGTATCAAAGATGATCAATTTACTGTAATAACTACAGCTTCATGAAGGTAGAGATCATTTCCACTTCACTTATTATTGTATTGTCCAGTACCCAGCATAGTAGAGGTGATCAGTAAATATTTATTGTATAAGTAAACTGAATGAATATAGATGTGATTAAAAAATTAGGACCTGGAAGTTTTATAATTTCAGCACTTATCTCACTCACCTAGGATTGCTTAAGCAATACTCCAAAAACCAATCAGAAATAGATATACCTAATTTGGAATCCAAGAATGATATATTTTATAATAACAAAGTCCTTCACTACAAACATTTTACTATGATTCCATATTCTATACCAGCAATTTCCTGGATAGAAATGAAATTGACATTCAAATTTACTTAGTTATCTTGAATAACTAGTAGTGCAGAAATAAATGTAACATATTACAACCATTATATAAACAGTATTTAATTACAACTAATAGATGTACAATTTTAAGTGCCATTAAATGCATTTGAAATATTAAACAAATTCTAATTAATACTGAAAATTAAAGTCCTCCAAATGTAAAATCTGCACATTAGCCACCACATTTTAATTCATGTTGAGCAAAAACCAGCAATATTATTTAAAAATTGGGGCTAGTAGATCTGTCATTCTTGTCAAGCAAATTCAAAGGGCCTTCATAGCATGTCCTACTTTGTTATCACAATGTAAACAGTGTGTACTTTGCTTTATGATTCTTTATTGGCCACTATCAAAGCCATAATTCTCCTGAAGGGCCAAAAGAGTTATTTAATTTTTCAGTCATATTTTATATATATTATTGGGGAAAGTTAAATGCATAGTGCCTTTTTTTTTTTTTTTAAATAAATAGAAATTCTGATATATCCATCATGGTTTACCACGATTTTAACAGGACGGCTCCATATTAATTTTAAACTAAAAATCTCTACATTTTTCATGGACAAATCTGCACGAAAGTTCAGAATTCATATGGCAGTTTTCTGCTAAATGTTTATTCTACAGTTTTCATCCTTGTTTACATTCTGTTATTACTAAATTCAAATTAAAATATCATACTCACTTCATCAGCCACAAACTCCTTACTCAGACCAAAATCTGTCAGCACTACATGGCCATTAGAATCAAGTAGAATATTCTCAAGCTTAATGTCACGATATATAATCCCCAACTGCAAAAAGAAAGAAATATAAATTTTAAAATAATTTACAAAAAATGAATTAAGACAGTCTTTCTTGTCTACCTTTTTTTTCTTTTTTTAAAGGCATTTCCCTCCGCAGGATCCTGTGATGGCTCTTGGTGACTGGTCAGGGCAAATGGAAATTCTTTTATCTGCTGCGTTCCCTCGATGTCTCCAACCTACTTCTTTGTTCTCCACGTGCACAGGGTCTACCTCATTGGGTCAGCTTCTTTAGGACCTCCCTCTTGACTAGTGCGCTTCTTCAAGTCTCTATTCTTCCTATTGCACTCTCACTCTAGATGACCTTCAGGTGCCTTTGCAGCCAATTCTTGTCCATCACTTCCTAATGGCTTCAGAAGAATTTCCTGACTAACCGGATCCCCTGGTCATTTCCTTGTGTTTCATCCTACAACACCTATGTTTACATTGTACTTACCTATACATGACTGATATTTTCTAGGTACTTCCTATTTGTCTTTATATACCTATATATTCTGTTATATAGGTATATAAAGACAACTCTGTTATTCACTTTTTATGTATTTATCAGGTATTTATGCAGCACATCATGTATAAAATAGGAAAATGTATAAAATAGGAAATTCATAAAGAATTGCTGATTAACAGGCTCTTAAACATAAAGGTTGAAGATTATAGGTTAATTTTACTCAAACTTTAGTTTGTTTGTTTTTTTTTTTTTTTGAGATAGGGTCTCACTCTGTCACTCAGGCTGGAGTGCAGTGGCGTGGTCCTAGCTCACTGCAACTTCAAATTTCTGGGTTAAAGCCATCCTCCCACCTCAGCCTCCAGAGTAGCTAGGATTACAGGTGTGAGCCACTGCACTAGGCTCAAACTTTAGTTCTAAATAAGCAAAGAAAATCAATTAAGTAACATTTATAGATCCCTCTGTTTTACTTTGCATTTATAAAACTTACTTCTTTGTAAGTTCTATAGCAAAACACTTCAGCAATATAACAAATAAATCTATCAAACTCATATAAAAGGTGCTTGATCTGCACAAATTCTGTTTCACGTTTTCAGTTATGTCAGCCTGAATTAAATGTTTCTAAACTTAGAAACATTGCTTTCCTCAATGCTAAGAATATGAGAAAGTTCTTAATAATCTCTTAAAATGGAAATCAAAATTATATACAGAAAAACACGAAGGGGCAGGCACAGTGGCTCTTGCCTGTAACCCTAGTATTTTGGAAGGCTGAGGCAGGAGGGTCACTTAAATCCAGGAGTTCAAGACCAGCCTGGGCAACACAGTGAGACCCATCTCTACAAAAAATTTTTAAAATTAGCTGGGTCGGGAGCAGTGACTCCCGCCTGTAATCCCAACATTTTGGGAGGCCAAGGTGGACGGATCACCTGAGGTCGAGAGTTCGAGACCAGCCTGACCAACATATAGAAACCCTGACTCTACTAAAAATACAAAATTAGCCAGACGTGGTGGCACATGCCTGTAATCCCAGCTACTTGGGAGGCTGAGGCAGGAGAATCACTTGAACCCGGGAGGCGGAGGTTGCAGTGAGCCAAGATAGTGCCACTGCACTTCAGTCTGGGCAACAAGAGCAAAACTCCGCCTCAAAAAAAAAAAAAAAAAAAAAAAAAAAATTACCTGGGTGTGGTGGCACACATGTAGTCCTAGAGCTACTCGGGAAGCAGAGGCAGCAGGATCACTTCAGCTCAGGGTGTTTGAGGCCACAGCGACCTATGATAGCATTCCACCAAGCGAGACCCTATGTCTATGTTTAGACCCTACGTCTCTATTTTTTAAAAAATGGAACCAAAAAGGGACAAGCGCGGGTGGCCCATGCCTGTAATTCCAGCACTTTGGGAAGCCAAGATGGGAGGATCACTTGCGCTCAGGAGTTTGAAACTAGCCTGGGCAGCATGGCAAAACCCTGTCTCTACAAAAAATACAAAAATTAGCCAGGTGTGGTGGTGCATGCCTGTTGTCCCAGCTACTCAGGAGGCTGAGGTGGGAGGATCACCTCAGCCCAGTAGGTTGAGGCTATGGTGAGCCGTGATCATGCCACTGCACTCCAGCCTGGGCAACGGAGTGAGACCCTGTATCAACACAACACAACACAACACAACACAACAAAACAAAACACAAAAGTACTAGGCAATTTTCCTCTAAGAGTCTCAGTGTTCTACAAGACAGAAAAGAAAATGTATAGAGCTTATATTGAACAGACATTGACTTGGAGCATTATATGCATCTAACAACCAGGAGATGCTTTTTCCTTAAAAACAACCTCTTTGGAAAATATTTTAGGAACAAATAATTTACTATCTGCGTCAGCTTATCACTCGCAAGTAAACATCCATTTTTGCCTCTTCCTGTGAAACGCAATGTTAGTAGCTTTATCAAGATTAACATTGCTGGCTTTGCGTTATATTTATTTGTATCTTTTTAGGGTAGTAAGATTAGGAGAAGATTAACTGAGATTTCATTTGCTGTATTACTCTCCGTATCAATTACAGTTATATCCAATATTCATTGTTATATTACTTCTGTGTTTGACAATGAGCAAGTTTCACATAAATTAAAAACTGGATTTTTGGACAAGCACGGTGGCTCACACCTGTAATGCAACAATTTGGGAGTCTGAGGCGGGCAGATTGCTTGAGTCTAGTTCAGCATCAACCTAGGCAACATGGCAAAACCTCATCTCTATAAAAAATACAAAAATTAGCTGGGTGTGGTGGCACACGCCTGTGGTCCCAGCTCCTCGGGAGGTTGACATGAGAGGATCACCACCTGGGAAGGTGGAAGCTTCAGTGAGCCGAGATTGCACCAATACACTGGACTTTCTAGCTTACTCACTGGAGCTATTCATTTCATTTCTTACTCATATTTATGATGATTTCTACCATCATTTTTATATTATAAACTAATTGTCCTAAATCATAAATTTCAAAGGTCTTTCTTTGCAGCGTATTCCTGGGTCCAATAGTTTCTTGTATGAAAATGTCTTATCTTATATCCCACAAAAATCATCTTAAAGCTTGTTACCGTATCAAGAATTCTATCAAAAGAAGTCCAAGTGTCTGTTCTGCTACCTCAGTTTGAGTGCCTACTTGACTGCACCTCATTCCCCTTCCTCTCCATTGTACTGCCGCCCTGCTCCCCAATCCCCTATTGCCAAAGGTTTCTTTCCCTCCTTGTTCTCATACATTTTTCATTCAGTCTCCCCAAGATTCCTACCCTTGAACCATCTCCCTTCACCTGGCAGGTCTTGTTTCTGCTCTGGGCTGGATCTGCCCTTTTCCTGATCTCTTTTTTTCTGACATCTTACCATCATTTATTCTCACAGCCTCACCCATCTGTTACCTCCACCTTGCTGCCTGCCCCTTTAGAAATGTCATCCTTCATCCTTCCTTTTTCCTTCAATTCTCTCCTTTCTTTTCTATGCTCCATAATCAGCACTTCAATCTCTATCTTAAACTAGTGTAGGACCTGAATACAACATGACGAGGAAGAGTGGCTTCATGATGTACCTGAATTGTCCTAATTTAAAAATTACTTGAGTACTTTCTGTCTCTGAGGAAAAACACAAGCCTGGTCTACATAATGACTGCTTCTACAATATTTCCTTATTAAGTAAAACAAAAAACGGAGTCAAAATTTCTTGGCTCAAGATTAATGGTATCTGCAATAACATTTCTTAAAGTTTGAACTGATTGTTACAGTTTGAATAGGGTCACAGACATGAATTCCATTTAAAGTTTTTTAGTAAGAGTTCATCCTACCTGGGGACAATGGAGGAGAAAGGGGGTGGGAGCAAGGGACGGTGTCAGGGACAAAACAAATGGAAAAGAAAGCCAGAGTGCGAGAGTGGGAAATAACTCTTATTCTCCAACCTCATCAGGACACACCCTGAAGGTTTACAGGCAGAGTCTGCAATGCAGTAAATTACAATGAAAGAAATACATCTTATGACTGATGGTTTCATTTTATTGGTTATTTTAATAATTAAAGGTTTTTATTTTAATGATACTTTGTAACAAATAAGCATTAGGATTTTTCAGGAAAAAGGCCAAAAACTGCTTAAATTCTTTTCAATCTCCATCATAGCAAGTACAATTGGAAAGTAGATTATTTTCAAACGGAATTATGAAATTGAGAAAATTGGTAATGTTCTGTAAGTGTGCTTTCATAATCTCCACTAAGACAATAACACGTAAAAACACGAGCTCTTCTAGCTCCATTATTACCTTAGTTAACAAACTTCAAAAAAGAAACTTGAAAAATCAAGTGTCTTACCTTGTGGAGATGTTCGAGGGCAAGCACAATCTCTCCAACATAAATCTGCACCTCGTGCTCTGTGAAACGCTCTCTTTGAGAAAGATGAGTAAAAAGTTCTCCACCATTTATATAATCTAAAAATGAAATATATTTTTCTTTCTTAAACTTGCATTCATAAATGAAAAGCAGTGTTTCCTTTTAATCACTTTGGATTTATCATAAGGCACTGATTTTAAAATACTGCTATTTATACAATTTAGCATATAGTTTCATGTAGATTTCTGGATTCAGATAGCAATACAGTTTCACAAAAAAACGATTACCTTAAATATATTCATATGTGTTTGCAAAGAGTATTGCCATTAAAACTATTGCTAAAATCTGCATATATTTAAATATTTTTTTCAAATACAGCATATTAGAAACCTCTGCCATCACCACATAATGCATACTTAACCTACTCTGGAGTACCAAAACAACAGCCACCGCAATAACCAAAACCAAAACAAAACACAAAGTCCCATCCTTCCATTTGTAATAATTGCCAGTCACCTGTAAACAGATTCCCTATTTTCCAGAATTGTCTACGTGCACTTCCAAAAATTTATATTAGGTAATAGATACCCTTTTATTTAGCCCAAAAGTATAAGTATTACAACTTGGTCAAATCAAAGACTCTAAAAGTAGAAGATTCCTATTTTCCTTTCAATTTTCTCTGTTTATCCCAAGGGGGATAATGAAATATGTGACCAAAAGGTTACATTAAGAGATAAATAAGGGAGCTGGTTAATTTTTTAAAAAACCAAAATAGTTATGTTGACACATGGTTGTAGTAAGACATTTCTTCATAAACTCAGAACTTATTTATCATTCATTATTTTAGGTGACAACTACACAAATTAATATTAGAAACTGCTCAAAATCCTATAGAATAAACTTTTGCCAAATAAATGTTGCAAAAAAGCTTTAAATTAGTTTCATCAGAAACCACTGATACATTAACACACAGTATTTGTGTGTGAGAAACTATTAACAACTAGAAAAGTCACAAATGCAATTTAAAGCTTTTCTCCTGAAAAATCTGAAAAGCGTATATCCCAAGTATATTCACTTGTTGAGTTTACCACAATTTGATAAAAGAACGGAATTCTTCATGAACTCAAAAATTTTTCTTTTACTTTGTCCATTTAACTTCAAATTCCAAAAAGCAGGTACAACAGAATTAAAGAACTCTAATAGCTAGTTGTTTTGCAATGCATTTTACAAACCACATGTCAGCAAAAACCATTTCCCTTCTCAGGCTTCTGTATTTTACCAAGGAGTTTTAATTATATCTGAACACAAAGCTAATTATTAAAAAAGTATAAAGGAACACAGGATTCCTGCAAATTAATAATGAACTTTTTTCCTACCTTAGTTATTTACTTAAAAACCCAATAGTCGTGTTTATGCATAAATGGTTTCCACAGTCAGTTATGATACAGAAAGAAGCACGCATATATCAACTGACAAACTCCTACATAGCCTTGAATGTCCAATTCAATCATGTCATCTTCTATGGCCACTCCAGCAGGGTTGATTACTTTCTTCTATGTTACCATTACACTTATTTAAGACTTCCAGCACTGCAGTTGTCTTGCTATACTGCAATTGTTTATTTGCATACTTACTTTCTCTGCTAAAGGATTAATATATTCATCACTATTTACTCATCATAGTGCCTGCATGCAGTAAGCACAAAATAGATGTCTATGGCATTAACAATTGAACACAAATTCTTAATACTAGAATATATTATAAACAGGGTCTCTGAACAAAACCACTCTGAAACTTAAGAGGCCAGTCTACTATTTAAAAAATCTAATGTACTCCTGTTTCAAATGCAACATGGCATAGTTAAAAGAAACAGGGCTTTGTAATTGATGGACCCGAACTAGACAATGGCTCCACAGCTGTCCTTCCTTAAGCAAATTAAGTCTCTCTGAGCTTCAGTTCTTTATCTATAAAACAGGAATAACAACTACTTATGAATTATTATTACTTGGGACAAAGTGCTTTATTTTCCACTTACTAGGAGATTACGAAAAAGTAACCAAAAATCTAAGGAGACATACCTCAAATATCAAGTGTCCTACTTCCTCCTTTTGGGATGGATTGACTTGACATCATAAAATAAGTTATTTTATTTAGAGGGGGCAGTTATGGGTTGTATACTTTATAAGTTGAACAGCAAACTCTATGAACTTGAGAATGCATGGGTGATGCAGTGGTGAGCATAGCTGCCTTCAATCCACGAACACACGATGTCTTTCCATTTATTTAGGTCTTCTTCCATTCTTTCAACAATGTTTTGTAGTTTTCAGAGTATACGTTTCTGTACTTCTTTTGTTAAATTTATTCCCAAATATTTTATTCCTGTTGATCCTAAAGTAAATGGTTTTAACTTCATTTTCAGATTGTTTATTCCAAATGTATAGAAATATAATTGATTTTTGTATGTTGATCTTACATACTGCAATTTTGCTAAACTTATATATTAGTTCGAGTAGTTTCTGAGTAGATTCCTTAGGACTTTCTATTTATAAGATGTCATCTTTAGATAAGAGTTTTTCTTCTTCCTGTCCAACCTGAAGGCCTTTTGTGTCCTTTTCTTGCCTATAATGTTGAATAAAGTGGGAAAGTGGATATTCTGTCCATGCTCCTGATATTACGGGGAAAGCATTTAGTCTTTAACCATTAAGCATTATGTTGGCTCTTGGTTTTTCCACAGATGCCTTTATCAGGTTAAGAAGTTCATATCCGGCCGGGCACGGTGGCTCACGCCTGTAATCCCAGCACTTTGGGAGGCCGAGACGGGCGGATCAGGAGATCGAGACCATCCTGGCTAACATGGTGAAACCCTGTCTCTACTAAAAATACAAAAAATTAGCCGGGCGTGGTGGCGGGCGCCTGTAGTCCCAGCTACTCGGGAGGCTGAGGCAGGAGAATGGCATAAACTTGGGAGGCGGAGCTTGTAGTGAGCCGAGATCGTGCCTCTGCACTCCAGCCTGGGCGACAGAGCGAGACTCCATCTCAACAAAAAAAAAACAAACAAAAAAAAGAACTTCACATGCATTCCTACTTTGTTGAGCATTATCATGAAGGAGTTGAATTTTGGCAAATACTGTTTTTCTACATCTATTGGGAGGATCATATGCTTTGTGTTCTTTATTCTGCTGATATGGTATATTAAACTGACTGACTTTTGGTTGGTACACCACTTTTACACTACTGGGATAGATTCCACTTGGCCATGGAATATAATTATTTTTGTTACTGGATTTGGTTTGATAGAATGTTGAGAATTCTGCATTTATATTCATAAGAAATAATGACCTGAGCCTGCCACGGTGGCTCATGTCTGTAATTCCAGCACTTTAGGAGGCTGAGACAGGAGGATCATTTGAGGTCAGGAGTTTGAGACTAGCCTGGCCAACATGGTGAAACCCTGTCTCTACTAAAAATACAAAATTAGCCAGGCATGGTGGTGCACACTTGTAATCCCAGCTACTCGGGAGGCTGAGGCAGGAGAATTGCTTGAACCAGGAGGCGGAGGTTGCAGTTGGCCAACTGCACTGCAGTCTGGGCCACAGAGAGAGACTCAGTCTCAAAAAAAAAAAAAAAAAAGAAGAGAGAGATAATGGTCTGTAGTTGATACCCCACACGTTAAATATAAACCTGTAGGAAGGCTGGGCACGGTGGCTCACGCCTATAATCCCAGCACATTGGGAGGACAAGGCGGGCGGATCACGAGGTCAGGAGATCGAGACCACCCCGGCTAACATGGTGAAACCTCCTGTCTACTAAAAATACAAAACAAAATCAGCCGGGTGTGGTGGCGGGTGCCTGTAGTCCCAGCTACTCGGGAGGCTGAGGCAGAGGAATGGTGTGAACCCCCGAAGCGGAGCTTGCAGTGAGCCAAGATGTGCCACCGCACTTCCGCCTGGGCGACAGAGTGAGACTCGGTCTCAACAATAACAAAACACCAGTAGGAGGGGTTCCAAGATGGCCGAATAGAAACAGTTCAAGTCTACAGCTCCCAACGTGAGCGACGCAGAAGACGGGTGATTTCCACATTTCCAACTGAGGTACCGGGTTCATCTCACTGGGGCATGTCCAACAGTGGGTGCAGGACAGTGGGTGCAGCGCACTGAGTGTGAGCCCAAGCAGGGCGAGCCATCGCCTCACCTAGGAAGTGGGAGGGGTCAGGGAATTCCCTTTCCTAGCCAAGCAAAACAGTGACAGACGGCACCTGGAAAATCGAGTCACTCCCACCCTAATACTGAGCTTTTCCAATGGTCTTAGCAAACAGCATACCAGGAGATTATATCTCGTGCCTGGCTCAGAGGGTTCCATGCCTATGGAGCCTCGCTCACTGCTAGCACAGGCAGTCTGAGATCGTACTGCAAGGCAGCAGTGAGGCTGGGGGAGGGGCGCCCGCCATTGCTGAGGCTTGAGTAGGTAAACAAAGTGGCGGGGGAAGCTCCCAGCAGCTCAAGGAGGCCTGCCTGCCTCTGTAGACTCCACCTCTGGGGGCAGGGCATAGCCGAAAAAAGGCAGCAGAAACCTCTGCAGACTTAAACGTCCCTGTCTGACAGCTTTGAAGAGAGTAGTGGTTCTCCCAGCATGGAGCTTGAGATCTGAGAACCTGAGAACGGACAGCCTCTCCTCAAAGTGGGTCCCTAACCCCCAAGTAGCCTAACTGAGAGGCAACCCCCAGTAGGGGCAGACTAACACTTCACACGGCCGGATACCCCTGAGACGAAACTTTCAGAGGAACCATCAGGCAGCAAAATTTTGTGTTCAGCAATATTTGCTGTTCTGTAGCCTTCGCTGCTGATACCCAGGCAAACAGGGTCTGGAGGGGACCTCCAGCAAACTCCAACAGACCTGCAGCTGAGGGTCCTGACTGTTAGCAGTAAAACTAACAAACAGAAAGGACATCCACACCAAAACCCCATCTGTATGTCACCATCATCAAAGACCAAAGGTAGATAAAATCACAAAGATGGGGAAAAAACAGAGCAGAAAAACCAAAAATTCTAAAAATCAGAGTGCCTCTCCTCCTCCAAAGGAATGCAGCTCCTCACCAGCA